TTTTGTAGCTCATTTTTAGATCAAGTAAAAGCAAATTACCAACCTAACTCAAGTTAGCTCAAGGTTTATGATGTTTCTTTTGCCCTTCACTATTTGAGGTAATTTCATTATTCCAGTTTTTAAATTTGTTTTTGGTCATTTCCATTATTTCAAAGGGAATTTGGAATGCATTAAATTTTAGGCAATTGTACAAGGAAGAATACATCAAATGATGCTATTGGCAAGTCCAGAGTCTGTCCTGTGAAATTAGTATTCTTGAGCCCCCAACATGGTCCAAGTGCTGTGCTAACCACTTTCATGTTTAATTCCTAAAATGCCTAAATAAATCCTGATGTTATCTCTATTTTCAGAAGTAAAGATAATAGAATGAATCATGATAGGAGAAAAGTGCATACCATGCTCTACTTCCTAGAGGGAGGGTCACAGATTTGTGAACATCCTAGCAACTAACACAAAGAGTGAGCCCTATTAATTATGCAATTATATCTGTTGGGTCTGAGTCCCTCTTCAAGAGACTGGACCTCCTTAAACGCTGGGCATTAGAAGACAGAAGACATGACAAGTCTTGGGTACACAAGAGAGGCTTTATTGCAGTCCACGTAGCCATTTGACAAAGCAGTCCAACCAAGCAGTCTTTGCTAGTACAGTAGCAAACACAGGAGCCATACTACGCGGCTGCTATACATACTGCAGCCCTGTATAAAAGCAGCCTCATACCGGCTGATCAGCAACACACTTGATACCACCTTAGACAAAGAGGCTTCTAGCCAAACAGTGGCATCAATCTTTTGCATTATAGAAGGGCACACCTGTGCAGTGTCTGCGTCCTTGCTTTTGCACCTGCATATAGCAAATTAGCCTTCAACACCCTGATTAGGATTCCCACGCTCAGAGTGGCCTTGAACATCTGGCATACTTTGGACAGGGTTTCCACGGTGTCTAAGAAAACTTCAATGAAGATGTGTAACTTCTATTTTAAAAAATACGGAAGATCTTTTCATAAAGAGGACTGCATAGAATAGTACACTGTGTTCTTCATATTTATGTTATATAAAACCATGGATTTCCTGGCTTAATGCCAAAGAAGATCAGTTCCCCGAGGAGAAAAGATTCTGATTGTCTGGATCAGGGAGGGGGAAGGTCCAGCCTGTGGGCTCTATAAGGCCCACAAAACCATTTGGTCCTGCCAAGGTCATGAGTTAACTAAATGTTTACCAAATAGAGCAGACTAATTTATAAGTTGATAATTTTGAATGTCCAGCAAATTATGTTATAAATATCCAAGTGGCCTTTGGCTAGAAAAGAATTCCCTACCCCTGGCCTAGATTAATCCAAGGAAAAACTTTGGAATGTCAAAAATGAATGGGTAAATATAGAGTAGACATGTATTTTGCCAAGTATTAAGTTGCAGCTTTCTGGTGTGTACCTAGACTTGACTCTACTTGCTGGTTTCATTGTGAACCTGTGCTTTATTACTGATTTGAAATTCAGAGATTTAAATCAAAGTTCAGTTGCAAAGTTAAGGGGTCTAGCCAAGGTCAGCCTGGTTCCATTACATTACACTGATTCTTGTTAGAATATTACAAACATTTTACCAACAATATATTGAAATACTACCATGTTTCCCCGAAAATAAGACAGTGCCTTATATTAATTTTTTCTCCCAAAGTTGTGCTAGGTCTTATTTTCAGGGGATGTCTTATCTTTCCATGCACTAGGTCTTATTTTCAGAAGATGTCTTGTTTTCGGGGAAACACCTTTGGAGATACAGTCTTGGTTAAGAATATTGTTTACTTTTCAACATGTAAGGGGTGAAATATTGTAAACACTTTGCTTTCTATTAATGTATTACTTTTTTAAACAACTTTTTATACCAATATTTAAAAAAATATTTTTTATTGATTTCAGACAGGAAGGGAAAGGGAGAGAGGTAGAAATAACAATGATGATAAAGAATCATTGATAAGCTGCCTCCTCTTGATCGAGCCTGCAACCTAGGCATGTGCCTTTACCAGGAATCTTATGAGCTCTTAGTTCATAGGTCAGTGGTCAACCACTGAGCCACACCTGCCAGGCTATACCAGTATTTCATGTTTTTTTGAAAAGTCATAAAATACAATTTAGTAAAAGGAAAAAAAATCCACTTGAAAGATAAATGTTTAAGTGACAGTTTAGTAATATTTTAAATATTTTTTTTCAGTTCAACATTTTCTTACGATTTCCTCAATATTTTTTCTGAATATAAAAGTAAATATTAATTTAATGAGACAAATACATTATAAAAATAAGTCATACACAAAAATTTCCTGTTATATTACCCAGAGAACCATACTTAATACCATATAAATATAGTTATGTAAACATGTTTTATTTTTTTAAAGGAATGATATACATTGTTAAATAACCTGTTTTTTAAACTTGACATACATTAGTATGCTTACTTCCACCTTAATAAATGTATGGGTAAACCCATTTCCTATTATTTGACATTGTTTTCTTCCAATATTTTTTTCCAGGTTTTGTTTAATGTTTAAAATTAGGGTGGTTTTTTTTTTTCTGGGTGTACTAAGAAAGGCAGGATCTTGACTTTGAGAGCAACAGTAAACCACTTTGGTGCCTCTTGTGGAGGAAAATAGTCTTCAGAATACAGTGAGCAATGAGACTTTAAAAAGAAGAAAGCTAACGCCCTTCCTCAGAATAAGTAGTCTGATTTTGGTCCTAGGCCAAACGTGAGAAGATCCTGTCACTTAAAAATGACTGTGAGGACGTGGACTCACTGTAATAAATCAGAAAAGTAAAATATCCCATGGCAATCATAATTTTTAACCAAATTTCAAGTCTCATGATATAACAATGTTTACACAATATTTTGCAACTAGATTTAAAGAAAACCATTTAAGTATTATAAAGACCAGACAATTTAAGTGAATTGAATTGCATAAATTAAGCAATTTATTCTAATTCTAAGTTTATCGTTATCCCTATGCGATCAGCACTGTTAGTAATCTTACTTTTACAAGTGAAAAAACTGAAATAGGTCCGATAAATATATACCAAGTTAGCGGTAATTAAACAATGAAGAAGAGAAGAATATTTGATAAATGATGTTGCTAACACTGGATATCAATATGGAGAAAACTCTTTGTTGTAGCCATTTCAACTATCGGCATGTAAGCTTGATACATAGACTAGAAGGTGGCTTGAAACAAGCCTCCAAACCACATTTTTTTCATTCTTGTGTCTTCAAAGGAAGAAATGCCTATTTCTACATTATTTAAAAAACTTTAATAGAACCACCAGAGAGGCGCAATGTAAATAGTGAAAGAGGATTCACTTACGAGTTAAAGGCAAGTTGACTAACCTCAGCTCCAGTTTAATTCTATGTATACTGGAATTTCAAAATATAGAACAAAATAAAATATTTACATAAAAGCCTAGCAAAATGTATGCCACATAAGTGCTTATCAAGTGTGGTGGTGTTTCTCGTCCAGCACAGAAAAGGAATGAGTCTGGTTCCTGAGTGGAGGAGATGGGGATTAAGAAATAAAGAGAGCAAGATGCAGAAATAGATTCATAAAGCTGGGAGCCAGGTGGAGAGGCAGCGATTCTTGAGCCCATGAGCACATTTTTTTTATATCCCCCCCCCCCCCCAAATACCAGGAAGTAACCCAAAACTTATCAAAGGAGCTTATTTGCATTCTTAAGTAAGCCCTAGCATTCCCAGTTCTTGATTTACATATCTAGACCTGCCCCAGCGAAAACCTGGGCTGATATGTATGCAGGCCAAGCTGATTACACTCTTGGCCATCTTGGAGAGTGTGTATCCAAGATGAGGTTCTGCCATTCGCCTCCGACTCAGTTAACAATTTTAAAAAATGCCCATGTGCCTCCCCAGGCGGCCCTCTACAATCAAGCATCCTTTTAGAAATAGCACAAGGCTACCATCTTCATTAACAATAAAAGTGCTGCATACAAAGAACATTCAAAAGGTAAAAAAAGCTAGGAACAGTAGTCTGCCAACAATATTTTATTCTTGCTCCTCTCCCATCTAATCAACATTATTAATGTAACCAACACACTGATCTGATTACAGTAAATTGTTAAACTTATTACCAGGTGATTTGATGAGGAAATGGTGTTCCAAACCTTTGGAAAATATTCAACATTTCAAGTAAAAAATGCAAGTAAAAAATTAATATTTTCATACATTAGCACCAATTTTTAGAAAGGTTTCAGTATGTGGGAGACATTTTAAGTTTGTTCCATATTCCAAGGAATGGATTACTGTAAGCAGAACAAGAAAAAGATGTTGACCAATTTGTTTTTGGGGGTACAAAATGCCATAGGGAAATGCAATTGTTTTTTCTACAGCTGCTTATAGCTTCATTGTTCTGAAGCGTGACAAAATGTCAACAAAACAAACACCAGCATTTGAATATCACTTAAATTGAGAAAAATACAACGAAATACTAGTGCCAAGAGTGCCTTTAGAAAGTGTAAAGGAATCATACCCAGGAATTAGTGTTAACGGGAACGACAAGGAAGCACAAGACCCTATCCTGTATAATTCCCCAGGAAACCTTTTTAAAAACTGTCCAAGTGATGATGATAATGAGGTTTTCCCTAAATTCTCTTTGTTATAATGCAATAAGTAAGAATTGAAGAGCAATGGCATTGGAGAATCAAGAACTAGAGCTTTACCAGTACATCTGTATAGTGACAACGGTTAAAAACTAGTATCAATAAGGCAGGGAGCTGCTGTACAGCTCCATCAGTCTGTACAGCAAAAAAACAAACTTCAACAAGGAAGGAAACTCACTTGCGCTGCTATTGGAGACTGCGCGTTACTTCCGGCACCGCCTCCGGAAATACCTCACCGCGCCTGCGCCGAGACCGGAAATGACGCAAAATTGCGACGCCAGCGCCCGCCCTAGCTGCCGGTGTGAGATTTCGGTCGCTTCTGAGAAGGCGGGCTTTCCGATGGTTCCAGCTCCAGGATCATGACGGGGAAGAAGTCTTCCCGGGAGAAGCGGCGCAAGAGAAGCGGCCAGGAGGCGGCGGCGGCGCTCGCGACGCCGGACCTGGTGGCCTCCCTGGGCGGCAGCGGCGGTGAGGGCGCCGGCGGCGGCGGGAACGCCGGCTTCCCCGGGAGCGGCGCGGGCGGCGGGGAGCGGCGGAAGCGGCGGAGCACGGACCCGTCCTCCGGCGTGTCGGGCTCTGTGCCCCAGGTGCGTGCTCGCCTTGCTGGCCGCTGCGTTTTCGGGAGGAATGCGGGTGACGGTCGGGCAGCGCGCCGGGCTCTGGTGAGCGCTGGCCGCCGAGAGTCCCCGTGCGGAGGGGCGTGTCCCTAGGTCCGCCCCGTACTCCCCTGAGTGTTAAGACTTCAGGTTCCTGGGTTTGCAGGTAACGAACTCTTTTTGCTCTTGCCTCCCTTCACTCCTGTCTCCCTGAAAAGTATTTAACGCCCTTGCCAGCCTCGCTTTACTTCTCCCTACATCTTCACCTTTAATGGGTTACCATGAACTCCACATTACAATCAGGCGACCAGACGTCCCGATCGGGACTGGTTTAAAAGGCCGCGGGACAAATTGTTCAAAAGCGAGACTGTCCCGCCAAAAGCGGGATGTCTGGTCACCTTACAGGGCGAGGAAACGGAGTCAAAGAGGTTAAGAACGTCTGCCCCGTCACAGTTTATTCCCAACGTCTAGAATCGTGCCCAGTATCTGACTGCGTAAAGGACACGTTCTTTATGTTCCATTGACCTGCCAAGATACCGTGTTTTTAAGAAAATCGTTTCCTTATCGTGTATTATAAAGTGTGCACAAATACATAAGTTATACAACAGAAATAAAGGGGAAAGCGTGGCAGGCTCTCTTTAAGCCCAGTCATAGTTTGATACCTAGTCTCTTCATTAACTCTTATGAGATGTGTGTACTAAAATTTCTACATATAAGCCTCATTGTGACATTGCCCCCATTGAATTGGACAATGCGGCTGCATTGTTGGGATGAGGTGCCTTTATGTATGCAACTAGAGGCCTGGTGCACAAAATTCATGCACAGAGGGGGGCGTTCTCTCAGCCTGGCCTGCACCCTCTCCAATCTGGGACCCCTTAGGGGATGTCTACTGGGATCGGATGTAAACCTGCAGTCCGACATCCGTCTTGCAACCTGGGACAACTGGCCCCTAACCACTTGCCTGCCTGATTGCCCCTAACCCTTGGCCTGCTGGGCTGATTGCCCCTACCTTGCCCCCCTGCCAGCCTGATAGCCCCTACCTATCTTGTCCCCCTGCTGTCCTGATGGCTCCTAACTTGCCCCCCTGCTGACCTGGTCACCCCCAACTGCCCTCCCCTGCCAGCCTGATTGCCCCTAACCCCCTGCTGGCCTGATCTGGCCCTCACCTCCCCTCCCCTGTGGCGGGATCGCCCCTAACTGCCTCTGCCTCGGCCCCCTCCACCATGGCTTTGTCCAGAAGGAAGTTGGATGTCTGGAAGATGGCTTGTCGACCTGATCTAATTAGCATATTACCTTTTTATTAGTGTAGGTAGTTTATTTTTTAATGGCTGCCTGATATTTCATTGTATCTTTATTGATGAATATTTAGGTGTTCAGTTTTCTTGTTATTGCAGAGATGATACAAAAGTGAACACCCTTGTACATATAGCATGTGCAAGAATATTACTTCAGATTGGAAGCTCAGAAGTGAAATTGCTGGGTACCTCTTTTGGTCATTTTATAATTAGAATAATTGTATGTTCTTTTGTGACTGGCTTCTTTCGCTTAGCATGTTTTTTCAAATTTTGTACTTGTTGATACTCCTATCAGTACTTTTTTTAAAACTTTTTTTTTTTTATTGATTTTGTACAGAGAGGAAGGGAGAGAGATAGAGTTAGAAACATCGATGAGAGTGAGTCATCGATCAGCTGCCTCTTGCACACCCCCTACTGGGGATATGCCCGCAACCAAGGTACATGCCCTTGACCGGAATCGAACCTGGGATCCTTCAGTCCCCAAGCCGACGCTCTATACATTGAGCCAAACCAGTCTTGGCCATATCAGTACTTTTTATGGCTGAGTAACATCACATTTGCTTATTCCATTTGTCACTTCATGGACATTTGGATTACTTTCACCTTTTGGCTATTATGACTAACGCTGCTATGAACATTTGTGTACAAGTTTTTTTGCATAAGTTTTTTGTGCAGACATATGGTTACATTTATTTCAGATATATATCTAGGAATGGAATTGCTGGGTCACACAGTGACTTCTTGAGGAATTGCCAAACTTTTCCAAAGTGACTGCACCATTTTATATTCCAACCAGCAATGTGTGAGGGTTCTAGTTTCTCTACATTCTTACTAACATATGAAATACTTTGTAAGCCATTAGAATAAGAGTTGACCTTTATTTTTTCTGTCTAATTATAGTATCCTTCTAAATTGGCTTTTTCAAAAAAACACATTTATTATTTTTAATTTTTATTGTTTTGTTAATCCTTACCTAAGAATATTTTTCCCATTGATTTTTAGAAAGAGTAGTAGGGAAAGAGACAAAGAAAGACCTATGTGAGAGAGGCATATTGTTTGGTTGTTTCCTGCAACCCAGGTACATGCCCTTGACCAGGAATCGAACTCAGGACTTTTTGGTGTGCATGTGAATGCTCTAATCACTTAGCATACTGGCCACGGATAAAAACCGTTTTTTAAACAATTTCATTAGGAAAAAAAAAAGAAAAGAAATCTACCTGAGCTACATAGTTTGCATTTTCCAAGGAAAATGACTTTTGAATTGCTATCTGCATTTGTTAGTCTCGGAAGGATAGTGTGTGTGTGGTATGGGAAATGGGGATAGAGGAGATTGTTCTAGGCCAGAGGTCGGCAAACTGCGGCTCTTTGGCCCCTTGAGTTTTTAGCAAAGGCCAGCTTAGGAGTACCCTAATTAAGTTAATAACAATGTACCTATCTATATAGTTTAAGTTTAAAAAATTTGGCTCTCAAAAGAAATTTCAATTGTTGTACTGTTGATATTTGGCTCTGTTGACTAATGAGTTTGCCAACCACTGTTCGAGGCAGAAAAATATTATGTACAGAAGTCCTGCCTGTATGAGGTGAAGGGAGAACAGATTATATTTATGTAAGTCAAAAAAGTTTTTTTTGTTTTTGTTTTTGTTTTTTTTTTTAGTATATTTTTATTGATTTTTTACAGAGAAGAAGAGAGAGGGATAGAGAGTTAGAAACATCGATGAGAGAATCATAGATTAGCTGCCTCTTGCACATCCCCTACTGAGGATGTGCCCGCAACCAAGGTACATGCCCTTGACCGGAATCGAACCCGGGACCTTTCAGTCCGCAGGCTGACGCTCTATCCACTGAGCCAAACTGGTTTCGGCAAGTTTGTTGTTTTTGAAACACAAGGAATGAACATAAAGGTCTAGCTAGACCATATTCCCCCAAAGCAGTGTTAAGTCATTCAAAGGCTATAAATAGGAAAGATGAGTATTATGTACATTTTATAAAATCCATTCTGATATCATTATACAAAACAGACTGGAGAGACCTCAGATTATATTCAGCAAATACACTTAAGTGGCTAGTGAAGTAATCTGGGCAAAAGGTAATGATGGTATCTTGGACCAGGATTATGGCAATAGATTTGGAGAGACTGGATAGATTTGACAGAAATAGCTCCGGGTCAGCAGTAATACATCACTGTGTAATATTTGTGATTTGTAGTATTTATGCTGCTATCCCCATTTCTATATCAATTTAAGAATGACAAGACATACATAAAACTTTGGATGAATGGCCAACTGAAGGATTATTCCAATTATTTAGAAGACTAAAATTATAGGAAATCATTCAATGTTGAGTATATTTATGTGTCTTAAGATAATATCTCTTTACTTAATTTAAACTTAATGAGATAATTGTGGTGTGGAGAATAAGTTCAGAGACTACTGAGCAAATAGTTATTCTTTCCTATGGTTTTAGATAAATAACCTATGTAAACCAAGAATTTAGAAATATTTAATGAAGAAATTATTAAATGACTATGTGTGACATTATATGCATATTCCATGCACTATAAGAGTATTATTTAATGGTTCTTTAATTTTCTTTAATTTTAGGAAACCAAATATCTTTTACCAACTTTGGAGAAAGAATTCTCGGCAGAGCACAGTGACCTTGAAGAAGGTGGTCTGGACTTGACTGTGTCATTAAAACCAGTTAGCTTCTACATATCAGATAAAAAGGAAATGCTTCAGCAGTGCTTCTGTATTGTCGGAGAGAAGAAGTTACAGAAAATGCTGCCTGACGTGTTAAAGGTACTTTATTACGTATGCTACCAGACTATACGCATATAAAGAAATATACACACCTTTTTTGTAGCAGTTGGCTTAATAAGTTATAATTGGATGTTTTCAAACTAAAACAAGCAATTTAAAAAATATAGAAAAGGGTGTTTATATAAATGGCTTTGTATATGTAAAAATTTACCAAGAAAAAAAAATGGGTGAATTTACTGTGCTTAGGTAAGGAATTTATCGACCTTCTGAAAATAATTCTATTAAATGCAGGCAATTTAGTAATTAAATTAGAGGTATAATGATTCTTTCTGGTGCTTCAACAGGAAAGCAGAGGAAGGTTCGGGGAGGGGTAAGAGATCAATACAAGGACTTGTATTCATGCACATAAGCATAACCAATGGACACAGACGCTAGGGGGGTTAGGGCATGTGCTGGGAGAGTGGGAGAAGCAGTGGGGGGAGGTCAATAGGGAAAAAAGGTGACTATTTGTAATACTTAAAAAAAAGAGAGATAATATATTGCTGTGTAACAATATTCATTGATGTTTGGTAGTGGCTTATATTTATTAAATTTACAAATGTTTTCATGTATTTGTTTCTGAAAATTATTCAGAGTAATACACGCTATTCTAATTTTAGAGTTGTAAAAATAGGGTTTGGACAAATTAGGTTCAAAATCATATATCTACTATATATAATAGAACCAGGATTTGAATATTTAAGCCTTTAGAAGTGATTACCTGACATAAATACCCTGTTTCCCCAAAAATAAGACAGTGTCTTATATTAATTTTTTCTCCCAAAGTTGCTCTAGGTCTTATTTTCAGGGGATGTCTTATCTTTCCATGCACTAGGTCTTATTTTCGGAGGATGTTTTATTTTCGGGAAAACACGGTAGAATGCTGTTGATAATATCTAGGCTCCTGATTACTCTTTGGTTTATTCTTTCCTGATAATCATGACTGTAAATTCTCATCAAGTTTTATAAATTATAATGTTCACATGTTAACTGTCAGTTTTTCAGATTTCATCCCATGAAAGGATTTATGTGGCTTTTAATGTGTTTTATTGTAAAATTTTGCTAACTGGACTTTTTTGTGATTTCTGCTTTCTAGTTTAAATTGCCATAATATTACATAAATGCATTTTTTAAAATGTCATTTTTTTTAGAACTGTTCAGTAGAAGAAATTAAAAAATTATGCCAAGAACAGTTAGAACTCCTATCTGAAAAAAAGATATTAAAGATTCTTGAGGGTAAGAATACATATTTCTCCATTATGATAACTTTTTAATTAATACTATATTGAGAATAAATCCTGAGGTGTTCTTTTTCTTCAATATTACTTTAATTTCATTATTGGGTAATCATTGAAAAGTATGTTTACTTCTGCTTGTTCAGAGAAATATAGTTTACATATCAGAATAGCATTTTAAGAATAGACTTTTTGGTGTATGTATGGTTTTTCCATCTCAAAATTATAGGTAAGAGCATAAGTTTGTATACACTAATAAAATGAAATAAAAAATGTTTAACCAAAATACTGATATTTGAAATAGCAAAGTTTTCTTCTAAAATACTTTATTTTCTGCTTTATAATCTCATTGCTCTTAGTTACCTGTAAACTTTAAAATTCTTTGATCCTCATCATGTTTAAAGACAATACTTTAATGATTAAAGTGAAATTATTGTGACATTTTATAAGCATGCTTTTAATTGTTTTATTTATAAGGTGACAATGGTATAGATTCTGATATGGAAGAGGAGGCAGATGATGGCTCGAAGAAGGGATCTGATTTAGTCAGTCAGTAAGTTAAAATTTTTTCATTTTACAGTGTTTTTGTTATTCCTTTATTGAGTTAATACTTGAAGAATGGTTATTTTTCTGTGTATTATTTAGTTAATTAAACAATGTAGAAAGATTGACTTACTTTTTTTTTTTTTTTTAATATATTTTATTGATTCTTTTTCAGAGAGGAAGAGAGAGGGATAGAGAGTTAGAAACATCGATGAGAGAGAGTCATCGATCAGCTGCCTCTTGCACACCCCTTACTAGGGATATGCCCGCAACCAAGGTACATGCCCTTGACCGGAATCGAACCCGGGACCCTTCAGTCCCCAAGCCGACGCTCTGTCCATTGAGCCAAACCAGTTTTGGCGGATTGACTTACTTTTAATGATTGGTTCTTTTGGTATACAGTATATAAAGATGAAGTTTATTGCTATCAGGATTAAGATGATTTTCTTAAATAGCTACTCAAGATATAGGACAATAGCAATGTCAACTTGAAGCAGAATCACATCTCTCATTTGGAATGTGAATAGTGATACCCACTATTAAGTACTTACTCTGTCAGTCATTATGTTAATAACTTAGAACATTATTTCACTGAAATTCTTTTTAAAAAAAATATATATTTTATTGATTTTTCAGAGAGGAAGAGAGAGGGATAGAGAGTTAGAAACATCGATGAGAGAGAATCATCGATCAGCTGCCTCTTGCACACCCCCTACTGGGGATGTGCCCACAACCAAGGTACATGCCCTTGACCGGAATCGAACCCGGGACCTTTCAGTCCGCAGGCCAACGCTCTATCCACTGAGCCAAACCGGTCCCGGCTATTTCACTGAATTCTTCATACCTATTAATATTAGGTGATAATAGCCTCATCTCACAGATATGATAATCAGGTGGTTTATTTTATATAGATATGTATAATTTGATCATAATAATAAATGCATAATATGCTAATTAGACCAGAGGACCTTCCGGATGAAGCCAGAAGGCCAGTTCCTGGGTGCCAGAAGGAAGTTGGTGCGATCAGCTGGGTGAAGGAAGGCCTACTCTTGCATGATATTCGTGTATCGGGCTTCTAGTTATGATATGAAATCCCTAAAGTTTTGGCACACTGACTAATCAAGAAACAACATGCTTATTTTTTTTTCTAGATAATTCTGCTCTGTCACTACTAATTTTAGTATCTGTTGATGATTTTTGACTAAAGCAATTATTTTTTGGTAAATGCCAAGGACTGAGTTGTATCTCTCTTTGCTAAGGTAGTAGCACAGTTAAGAATACCAGTGGTAGAAGCATAAATAAGTAGGACATAGTTCACCTGAAATTTTGACTATTTTTTCATCTCTAATAGATACTATAGGGTGAGTGTCACCAAAGAAGACAATTTCATTTCACATTATAACTTCTAGCCTCCAGCACTGTAAGAAATAAATTTTTGTTGTTTAAGCTGGTGGCAGCCCTACCAAACTAATTTTACACATATACACATTTCTGGTGAAATTTCCTACCCAAACTTTTTATTTTGGGAAAACTTTAAACTTACATGGAAGTTGAAAGATTGATATAATGAATATTCATATATTCCATCTAGATTCAGCAACGGTAACATTTTCCTTTTTTGCTTTCTCTTTGTATTCTCCTTTTCCCCCTGAGAGCCATTTGTATTAGTTTGCTAGGACTTATGTAGCAAATTTCACAGACTGGCTGGCTTAAACAACAGAAATTTACTTGCTCAGTTTTAAAGGCCTGAGGTTCCTTTCTTCTGAGGCCTTCTCCTTGGCTAGCAGATAGCCATCTTCTCTCTGCCTCTTCATGTGGATGTCCTGTGTGTGCGCGGCCCTGCCTGCTATCTCTCCCTGTGCCCAGTTTCTTACAAGGACACCAATCAGATTGGATTAGGGCCCACCATAATGCCTTATTTTAGTTTATTACTGTAAAGTGTGTGTCTCCGAAACAGTCACCTTCTGAAGTACTAAGATCAGAGCTTGAATATAGATTTTTGAGGTGGAGGGAAACGCAGTTCAGCCCATAAACGAATTAAAAATAAGTTGTAGGTGTCATAAAATTTCATGCCTAAACAACTCAGTGTCCACTTCCTAAAAATAAGGACAGTCTCCCACAAGATCATCATCACTCATAAGAAAATAAACAGTAATTCAAATAATGTCATCAAATGTATTGCCATGTAAAATTTCCCCAATTACTAAAAAAAAACATTTTATAGTGTGTTTATTTATTTATTTAAATTAATTAAGTGGTTGATTCTGTTCCAGTATCCATTTAGAGTTCATGTATTCCATTTGACTGTTAATTTCACAAAGCTGAGTTTAAAGGAAAGATTTAGATACACTTCTAAATCCAAGGAATTTAGTACACATCTTAAAGGAATTAGAAAATTAACAAACCAAAAGGAAATTGGGAAATGAAACACAAAGGTAAACATTAAAACTAAAGAAATAGAAAACGGAAAGGATGAATAAATCCATTAACTTGGTCTTTGTGAACCAAGAACATAGATAAACTCCTCTTGGATCTAGATTAGGCAGCAATTTTCAACCAGTGTTATGCAAAAATTTTTAAAACATGCAACACCCAACTAATTAGTCAGGGGCTCAGACTTCTTTTCCCTTAGATTGTGAAAGTAAACTGCTATCACAACACAATGACAACATCTAACACAACAGTCCAGTGTGAATGAATCAAAATTATACCTATTTTTTGTGTCAGAATTTTAGTGATTAGTTTTTGTGTCGTGAGATGTAAAAAGGTTAAAAATTGCTGAGTTAAGGAAATAAGTGGAGAGCAATTTAATTGAGATCAGGAAGGAAGAAGGAGATGTGTGAATCTAACTAGTTTACCTTAAGTCAGCAAATGTCTAAGTTTATAAAACAATATATAGGTATACTAAAATCTTTAGCGTCAGTGATTTGTAGTGTTAAAATTTTTAGGTATTTTGACAAGATTTGCAAATGTTACAGATTATGACAGTTGCTTGACAAAAATAACAATTTTAAGTTAATTCAGTAATATGTTGGCCAGGATTAGGTGCTATTTCCATTTGTAGATGTGCTGCTGGAAAAGAAGTTTTATTGTAGCTAAAATAGCACTAAAAATGAGAACAGGTATTAACTTGGCTTATAATGCGAGGTGATTATGCTTTTAGGAATATGTTTATAATGAAATTTAAGTCTTGAATAGCACAATAAAATAATCAGGATTGAAGTTTTATGTATAAAGAATAAAAATACAAACACTTTAGGGAAATCTTAGCAATATTTTAGAATTGCTCTAACTTTTTATGAATTTTAAATTAATTCGCTTTTACTAAGTGATCTTGAGGGAGATGTCAGTAGAAGTAAAGCTGTATTTCCCAACAGATAATAATCAGTGTTGAGATAATGTCACAGTTCTAGAAGATAAAGAAATTTAAAAATCAGGGTTCTCAAAATAAAGTACACCGCAAAGCAGGAGTGTCCTGAAACCATTGTTCCTAGTCACTGTGACTTTCTTAGAGAGGATGGATATAATCTAAAATATTTATTCAATGCCAATTTTGGATGGTTAACTTTAAAAAAAAATAGATATTCCTAAATAAGTCTTAGACATTTTAAGTAGCACATTTAAATTGAACCATTTTCTGTTCACTAGACTATTTAAATAGCAAATAAAATTCATAGGGAATTGTTTTGTAAAGTGAAAATTTTTTTCGGTAGGGGTTATTTTTAAATCTCCATTTAATTATTAGTTTAGTAAATCTGAAATGTCAGCACTTTTGTTTAAAATGGCATGCATGATTATTCTTAAAATATAAGTGGTTGAAAGAGCAAGTTGATGTAGTTTAGAATAAGTTACTACTTACAATGTGCTGGTTATTAGTTACAGTATACTAGATTTTAATGCATCGTAATAGTTAGGTTTTTTAAATGTTCTACAAGTTATTCCACTATTTAAAATGAGTAGCTTCCTGTTTACTGCTGTTTATAGTCAGTTTAGACACTTTAGAGATGTTAAAATGAGACAACAGCATAGTTTCTTTTCTTTTTTTTTCCATTAAGATGTTTATTCTTGAAAACAATGGGCTATTCCTGTGGCTTGATCACTTGTCTGATTGAGAGCAAGAACTAGAATTTGGGTTTATGACACTATTCTATTGCTGAACCCTGGCAGTAATATGTGGTAGAGCTCTGACGCTGTTTGTTTATCAAAGCCAGTGATTAACAGCTGCATTAGTTTTCCAATTGAGCTATCGTGACACAGCTGCTTGCCACCTTTGGTTTTTAATAAGGATAAAACGTTCACTTTCTCTTTGATGAATTAGGGCTATTTAAGGGGTTCAGCTCAGCTAACCTTAGAGTACTAAGAATTTGATTTCTTACAAGTAACATTTATTACTTGAATATCTAAATATAAGTAACTTTCAAAGGGGCGAGGGCATTCAGCAAAATACTAACCTCTTAGTAACTGTCAATAAAACTGAATTTTGGAACAAACTGCTATTATTAAACTTAAATGGAATAAAATATTTAAATAGAAGTAAGTTATTGTGCTCTGGAAAATTGGATTAATGGGTAGCATAAATCTGCAGTACTTATTTAAGTAAGTATTTTTATCAATGGATACAAAAACAAGCCTCAGGTAGACCCAAGACCTGGGCTTGCTGGGAATGAGACACTTCAGAAATTCACCCTTTGATTCACCCACCTCACTTAACTCACTCTGGAATTTATGGTGTTTTATTCTAGTTACTTATTTGTTCATTTGTTTAACTCTGTTATGGAAATTTTCAATGTATGATGAAACACCTTGCATATCTATCACCCACTCACTATGTCCCTTCTCATATTCTAGCCTCCCGATTTCTGCCAAATTGATAACTTTGAAGCAAATCTTGACCTATTTAGTTTAAATGCTAAGCAGATAGGAATCTCTTCAGAATCTCTTAGAACATCCCTTAGAATGGAAGGGAATGAGCTTCTCAGGTTTTAGATGGGATTTTCATGTGAATTGCAGCGTGTTCCCCACCAGGGAACTTTGAAGGACTCAGGAAGCATTGTTTTGTAACTGTCCCCCCCACACACACACACACACAAACACAAAGTTTGTATGCTTTATATTATAGAAACCTGATTTTGAAAGTATCTCATCATTTTTCCATCAGTGTATTGTTTCATCCTGCTGCTCAAGCACTGGGTTGGATGTTGGCTGGCATTTTTCCTTTTTTCTGCTCTTCCATCATCACTTTTTAAAATTGGAGTTTTTCTTAACACTTACCTGACTCATTGTAGTAATTGCCCTTTCTGTTTCATTTGAAAAATAAATTCACTAATGTTCACAGCACACTAAACTTGTTAATTCTCTAATCCTCCTTTCTACTTCTCTGACCTCTAGAACTGTTTGCTTACCAAGAGTCACTCATGTTTGTTTCCAATTCAATTATCTTAGTTGCATAATTTTAGTTAAATGTATGGACTGATGAAGTATCTATGACAAGAGGAAAGTTGAATGCTTTGGAAAAACTCAGAGGCATTTCTAAAAAGTTAGCTGTGGGAAAAGCAACAAAATTTGGGGGGATATAGTATAAATACAGAGGGTTATTTTTTTTTAACTTATATTTTTGTAATTTAAATAAGCTCAAACTAGAAATGGCTTATGTGAGTAGGTTGAGACTGAGCTCTTTTCCATGGATTCATACTAAAAATAAGGCTGTAGCCCAATTGGCTTGACTTAGTGGTTGAATATCCACTTATGAACTGGAAAGTCACAATTTGATTTCAGGTCATGGCACATGCCCAAGATGCAGGCTTGATCCTCAGTGTGGGGCGTGCAGGAGGCAGCCAATCAATGATTCTCTCTCATCATTAATGTTTCTATCTCTCCCTTTCCCTTCCTCTCTGAAATCAATAATATATAGATAGAGATATACACACACACACACACATATATATATACATACAAACATATATGTATACGTATAAATATATATATACACACACGCACATACATATATTTAAAAAAATTAAAATGGAAAGAAACTGGCTAGTTTGGTTCTGTTTCTTTCTTTTTTTTTTTCTTTTTTCCCCCCCAAAATATATTTTATTGATTTTGTACAGAGAAGAAGGGAGAGAGATACAGAGTTAGAAACCTGAGAGAGAGTCATCGATCAGCTGCCTCTTGCACACCCCCTACTGGGGATATGCCCGCAACCAAGGTACATGCCCTTGACTGGAATCGAACCCGGGACCCTTCAGTCCCCAAGCCGACGCTCTATCCATTGAGCCAAACTGGTCCCGGCTGGTTCTGTTTCTTTATTCTTCTGTTTAGATATCCTTCCAGTATTTATCATTAACAAAAAATTGACTTTCTTTTTCTGTTTAGAAATAGTTTTTAAACCTGTAGTAATTCACACATGATTCTTAAGTTCTGCAGATTTCCTCGGTGTATTATTCTTAGTTAAAAAACAAATTCATTGAGTCATAGGAAGGATGAAGAGTGGAACTATATATAAGGTAAAAGAAAGAAATTTGGACTGATACTGGTTTGAGCACTTAAATCCCAGAGATGGGTATAGGATTCACTTATAATTCAAGGCTAAGATTATAAATTAAGCTTCTTTTTAAAAAAAAGAAATATATTTATTGATTTCAGAGAGGAAGGGAGGAGAGATAGAAACATCAATGATGAGAGAGAATCATTCATTGATTGGCTGCATCCTGCATGCCCCCCAATGGGGATCAAGCCTGCAACCCAGGCATGTGCCCTTGGCTGGACTGGAACCTGGGACCCTTCAGTTCACAGGCTGATACTCTATCCACTGAGCCAAGCCGGCTAGGGCAAATTAAGCTTCTTTAAGAAGGGGCAATGCAGATTGGAGAAGGTAATTAGAAAAATAAAAACAGGGTTTTTTGTTTGTTTTTTGCTTTTATTAATGGAAAGAGATACAAAATTGATTCTTAACCCAATTAGCAGTGTTTCTTCTCTTCCCCCTTTCTCACTTCTCTCTCTCTCTCCTGATATAAAATTCTTATGTAGTTTTAACCTGTTTAATTGAAATATTTAAATATTTAAACACAAATTTCTTTTAGTTTTCCTAATTCTGACACCTAGTTTGTCTTATCATCTGGGAGTAAATTTTATAAAATTTTTCATGAAACTAGAAAAAAATACTTCATATGTACATGTACCTTTCTTATACTTTAAGACATTTCCTTTTTTTGATGAATATCTTTAAATTCTATTAGAGAAATCTGAATGTTGTATATGATAATTTTAGTTTCAAAGTTTACATTTTGGAAAAACTAACTAGCTATTAAAATTCCAAACTATTTTCTGAAATTTTTTCAACTTCAGATAATACTGCTATAAAATCATCTACTGTTTCACTTTTCAGACACAAGGTGGTGCACTGGACTTACTGTCTGAAATTCTGTTGATGAGTTTCTTCAACAGTCTTAAGATAAAACAACATTATAAAAGTTTACCTTTGGCATTAAAGTAAACTATTTATGAAAACAGAGTTTTTATAGAGGGATACATATCATTAACATTTTATCCTATTTACACACCTTCTCTTTATATATGTGTGTTTTTTCCTGAAATATTTGAGACTAAATTACATGTTTTACTCCTAAATACTGCAATGTGCTTTTCCTAAGGATGGTGGTATTCTGTTTTATATCACCACAATAGAATGTATTATTTAATTCAGTTTCAATATTTTAACATTGATACAGTACTTTTATCCAATCTACCATTGGTATTTTAATTTGTCATTTGACTTAGTAAATGTCCTTTACAATGTTTTTCCCCCTCTAGTTCAGTAGTCTCAAGTCAAATATAATGATTAATTTTTATGACTCTTTATCCTCCTTTATCCTGGGATGTTTCCACAGCCTCTCTTTGTCTTTTATAACATTGATCTTTAAATCAATGTTTTCATTTTGGGTTATACATTCTCAGCTAGAATATTGCATGGGTGATGTGTCTTTCTTAGTGTATTTCATTTGCTCATGGTCTTTTTTTAATGGTAATGTTACATTATATTTTTGTTCAAATCATTTTTTGTAAATTCAGTTGTATATGTTTAGAAGAATTCATTGTCCATCATGACTGTGTAAACGCAAACATTTCCTCTTAAAGGAAGATACTGAGATTAATGCTTTCAGTAGATAAAATCTAATTTGACTATAAGGTTTGAGGTGGTACATTTTAACTTTATTCTTTAGAAAATTCTTAATCTATACTAATAAAAGGGTAATATGCTAATTAGACTGGGTCCACCAGACATCTTCCAGTCATCCTGCCTGCCTTCCAGACAAAGCCACAGTGGCAGGGGCCCAGCAGAGGTGCTTAGGGGTAATCAGGCCAGCAGAAGGGAGCGGTTAGGAGCGATTAGGCCAACAGCAGGGGCAGTTAGGGGTGATTAGGCCAGAAGTAGAGGGCAGTTAGGGTAGAGGGGTTAGGAGTGATCAGGCAGGCAGGTAGATGAGCAGTTAGGAGCCAGCAGTTCCAGATTACTACAGGGATGTCCGACATCCCCCAAGGGGTCCAAATTGGAGAGGGTGCAGGCTGGGCTGAGGAACGTTCCCTCCCCTCTCCCCCAAAGTAATTTCATGGGGGCCTCTAACCTTATATATATGCCTAAGCGACTGAATGACCGAATGACCAGTCACTGCTCCATGTACTGACCATTGGGGGCAGATGCTCAATGCAGGAGCTGCCCTCGGTGGTCAGTGCACTCTCACAGCCAACCTCCTGCGGCTCCTTCCCCTGCCGCTGGTCAACTTCCCACAGTTCCTTGCCCCGGGCCTACCTCCTACAGCCCCCAATTGGCCCAGCTCCCTGCCGACCAGGCCAAGGGACCCCGCCTATGCAAAAATTCATGCACCAGGGCCTCTAGTGTAGTATATTGGCATTCGCTCTGTCCTGGGTTGCCAAGGAATATTATTGACTAGAGGCCCAGCTCATGAAATTTGTGCACGGGTTCAGTCCCCTAGACCTGGCCGGTGATCAGGGCCATCTTCTCCAGTTGGTGGCCACTGCACTAAATGGTACCCTGAGGGTGTAGAAAATTCAGTGTGCTTTTACAAGTGTCTATAACTTAATTCTTGGATATTGAGCTGTAAATATTATTTGATTGACTGTAGTTTTAACAATTGTTTTTTATTTTTATTCCTCAGACAAGACATCTGTATGGATTCTTCTTTATCCCTGAAAGAAAACAAGCAACCTGAAGGTCTGGAATTAAAACAAGGTATGAATCAAGTATCTTGTTATATAGCATTTATCTGAAGATTTTAAACACTAAAATAAATTTTCAGCTTACCTTATTTTACATATAGATGATAGAAAAGTTTGATTCAAGATTAGAAGAGTAAAGAATAAATCCTTTAATTCATAGGTCCTCCAGCCCGCAGAGTGGTTCAGCCTTAGTGATGTGTAGTTACAGATGTCATCAGAAAGTTGTCCTCTTAAATATTTTTAATTTAATGTTCTCTATTACATATACTTAGTTGTAGATATCAGAGATATGTTAACTGGTAGCTTGAGGTTGTATGTGAAAAAAAAAATCTTATGGGATAAATTTCTCTCTCTCTCTCTCTCTTTTTTTTTTTTTTGCAGAGATATCTTATCCTTGTTTACTTTCTTCTTTATTTGTTTTCTATAAATCAGCATTTTTTGACATCATCATTTACCAGAAGTAAAGTGGCAGTTTGTGGTTTATTTGAGCCAAGTAGATAACAGGGCTAATCTTTAAATACATATTGGGAAAATCCTGATTGAGAAAATGAAAAGTTAAATAAATTTTTATTAGCCACTCAAAAATCACATTTTTCCTTTTTTGCTGCTAAAAATACTTCAGAGCAGTGATAACCTTTAGCATTCAAGAGGGTTGTGATATTTATGATGTAAGCAACTAATCTTTGATAACTTAGAATAGTTTCTTTAAAACTTGAGTTATAGCAACTATTTCATATAGAGAATCAGGTTATCTATTTAGGCAGAATTTTTTTTAATTGTGGTCGCTAATACTTAATTAACAAAATGAAAAGGTGTTAGATAATGAATTTTGTGATTCTTTCAATTTTTATATAGAGAGAATAAAGCCTAGACATTCTGTAATTCTAAATTATGTACTGTTGAGTTTATAAATATTTCTGTATGACCTTGAGAATTCCACTGCTTTTCAGAAGTCCTGTTTTGTTAGCTCCTTAAATAGCCAGACAAAATTATGTCTTTATATTCTGACTACTTCTGAGCACCCCCCACAGACATAAACTCGGTTTTAATTTACACTTATTTGCCGTATATGAATAATGCTAAGCTCACATAACCTTCATAATATGTAGTCATAGTCTTATAGCTCTTGCACCATTTATCTGTGTAATTAGACAACATAGCCGTTGCTTGTGCCTTTGTTTTTACTCTGCATCAGAGGAGCAGGCAGTGTGGAGGTTATGTTACTAGAACATCTGTGGAGAGCAGAATATCATGTAAAGGACAGAAAAAAACTGGAATGGTCAGACTGATTCTAGGGTAGAAAGAATGGAGACTTCATTGTATTATACAAAGTAGCCAGTGCCACCCTCTAGGGAAGATGTTTTTCTGCTCCTGGAGTCCTTAGAACTCCCTTCCCAGTGTCTTTGCTTTGATTTTCTTATGATAACTTCAGTCATTTGAAACCCAGCCATGGAGACAAAGAGGGAGAGAAAAAGGACTCAGAGTAGCTAGATATCACAGAGCTTTTATTGCATAGGAGGTTCTATAGGCCATTTCGGTTCTCACTGAGGCATCAGAACTGTCAAAAACACATGGTCGTCAGTAAGGGACAGTAAGCAGTGATGAAAAAAACATGAGATCGGAGCACATTAGTTCCATTTTGCAATACAGTTCGTGTTGTGACCAAATCTGTAGGAAATGGTTAAACTGAATTTCAGCTCTTTTTTAAAGGAAGTAGGGAAATAAGTCTTCTAGAAAAATGTCTGCAAAAATGATTAAAATATAAAATGTTTTATTGTGTAATGGGATAAACATAAATTACCTAGACGATTCAATTATGTAGAGCTTGTCCCAGATAAATATTTGTATAGCTGAAATCTGAACCAGTTAATAAGTAACTTGCTTGGAAATAGAAATTCTGGTAGGCTCAATACAGATTATTGCCTTTTTTCTAAATGAATTAATGTGCCCTATTTTTAATATGCAAAACTTTCAAAATTGATTTAATATTTTCTCTAACTTTTTTTGCACAGTTAGCTATTCTTGTTCACAGTGAACTCAATAAAAACAATATAATGCTTCTTGTAAATGCATTGTCATTTTATTTAATGGTTTGGCTGTTTAAGAAATTTCACTGAAGCTTGCTTATTAAGTAACCCTTTGTTCAGTAGATCAAAATGTAAAGCAGCATTGAATTTTCCCTTTGCTCTTTCAGAATAAAATAAATCTTACTGTATGACCTATTAATGGTGTATGATGCTGATAGGTTAAATTACATTTTCATTTTTTTCAGCTTCTAAAATTTCAAATATTGACAAGTACTAACTATAAGTTACTTAAATTAAAATTGGCACTTCTTTGTTTAGTATTGGTTTCATTGATCTTGTTGATAGGAAGTAACAGTTATAAAACTGGTTTTGCTAAAGATGAGTATAGATTATACTCCGACTTCTATCACACTTTAATAAAGGATTAATATCTGAAAATTCACCTTCCATGTGCAAACATTATTGAAATGTAACTATAATCTACTAGGGATTGATTAGTATTGTAGTAAAATAGAAATTTTGTTGAGGTTATTTTCCTGAGTCATTCATTTTTAGCAAGAGAGCAGTTGTAGAAGAAACACCAGCTATAGTTTTGCTTTTTATCTTTAGTATAGCTGGGTTTGTATGCACATATACAAATGCAAGCCTGAGATCTTAATTTCTGGAGAATTTCAAGGCTTGTATTATTGAAAAGATTGTGCTCAGTTTTTAAAATAATAACAGTTTATATAAAGTTCCTAAATTAGTTATTGAAAACTGCTCTTTGTTAAAGGTGGAAATATTTTTAAAATCTCAAATCTCTGCTAATACTAATGAGTTTTTCTATTTAAATAAATTTCTTAAGACATTCAGTAATATTAAAATAATGGTCTATATTCAAATTGTTGCTGTAAAATTTACAATTGTGGAATATGGGTGATTTTGAAAATATTCTCCTTTGTAACTTTAAGAATTAAATACTTGTCCTTAGAAATTGTTAGGTTAAAACTTCTATTTTTTATTTTTATCCTGACCCAAGAATACTTTCCCATTGATTTTTTTTTTTTTTTTTAAGAGTGGAAGAGAGGGAGTGAGGGTGTAGAGAGAGAGAAAGAAATAAAACACTCTCTCTCTCTCTCTCTCTCTCTCTCTCTCTCTCTCTCTCTCTCTCTCTCTCTCTCTCTCTCTCAAAACAATTCTGAGAGAGCTACATTGCCTCCTACATGCACCAGGACCTGAGCATAGTATCCAGCTTGCAAACCAGGTGTGTGCCCTGTGCCCTTGACTGGGAATCAAATCAGAGACCCTGTGGGTTAACACTATAATCTCTGAACCACAATCGACCAGAGCAGGATACTTTTTTTGTTGTTGTTACTTTACATGAGAAATACCTAAGTTAAATGTGGGTCTAAATTTAGGTTGAAGATAACAAATTGAAATCACTTGAAAATATTTGAAGGTCTGCCAAATGGCAGAGTGATTAAGATTAAGCTTGATCTATATTGCTTTGGAGAATAAAAATAGGGCCCGCAGATAGTTATCTTTTGGCTATTTCAAATAATCACAAGTAACAGGAAATGCAGTGTGCTGCCTTTTGAAATACATTCCTGTTGCTGAAGGTATTTGAAAACAGGTTATAATAAACGGCCACTTGGTGACACTGTTGTAGAGCTGATTCGAGTAAATGTTTGGCTGTTTGGCCTTGATCTTGAATTTCTTTTTTAGCTGTCAGATTTTGTAAATGCCAGTGCCTAGTGCAGTGTCTTCACTTGGGAAGACTAATAACTGGTTTCTTAGATTGTTTAATGGAAGCAGGATGAAATATACAATTTCTTTTTAACTCTACATTTTAAAAATTCTGTTAGAGGAAAAGATACTTGATTTAAAATGTCTTCAAATTATATGATGGTTCCTTGGAATGCATACATATGAGTATAATCATAAAAATAAATATGCAACCATATGGCATATAAAATTATCGAAATCAATAAGGCGTGTACTACATCTTACTCTGAATCTTTTACATTAGTTTTCTCATGCAGAGTTTTGCTGTGCTTAGGCTCAGATCTTTTTCTTTTTTTATTCAGATAACATTGGTTTTTAACAGCAATTTTCAACCTTTTTCATCTTGTGGCACACATAAATTAATTAGTAAATTCTGCAGCACACCAAAAGGATTATATTTTTTCCAGATCTCACAGGGGGAAAAAAGTATAATTTTCATTCATTCACATTGGACAGCTATTGTTGGGTTGGCTGTTGTCATTGTTTTATTTGACAAGCTAAAGGAAAAGAGGTCTGTGCCCCTGACTAAATAGTCAGTTATTGCATGTTTTAAAAATTCTTGCAGCTCACTGATTGAAAATCTCTGTTTTATAACATTTTGTAAATTTCAAATATACAGCATTATAATTTGACATCTTGGTTTTTTAAAAAAATGTAATTGCTTCATGCAATTATATTTTGGCCTTCTATTTCATAAGTTAGTAAATTATCTTTGAGAACTATCTTCTTAAAAACTTTAAGAAATTGAAAATTAGGCTTTTAATAAGGGAAAAATGCACCCAGTGGGTATGGATCAGTGGTTGAGCATCATCCCATGAATTAGGAGGTCATGGTTCAGTTTCTGGTCAGGGTACATGCCTGGATTGCGGGCTTGATCCCCAGTGAGGGGCACTTGCGGGAAGCAGCTGATAAATATGCCTCTCTAATCGATGTTTCTATCCCTCTTCCTTCATCTCTCAATTAAAAATTATATTTTTTTTAAAAAGGGGATAAAATGTTTTCAGTGGCTAAGCTATGTGATGAAAGTTTAGAATAGATATTTTCTTTGGGCTTCTTTCAGTCTTTCAGACCAATGGTCACCAAAGTATAATTATATACACTCTGTAATTATATATAATATATTACAGAGAATAAAGAAAGCACCAGAACTCATATAGTAAATAAATGTATATATACTTATATATTTAAATATTTCCCGTTAAAATTTCAGATTATGCATATGATTGTGATGGTACATATTAATTTATAAGTAAATAAAAAAGTATAGTGTGGCAGATACTTACAAAAAAATGTTTTCATAGATATGTTTATTTAGATAGTGAAGTTGCACTGACATTTACACCACTCTCTTAGACTGTCATAAAGAATTGATAATGCCTATAGCTTATTCATCTATTCTAAAAAATTAAATGTGATATGAGATTTTGCCATTGTTTAGTAAAAGTATTAAATATAAAACTATATCAGACCATTTGAATCCTTAAGATGAGGGATAAATGGAAAAACCCAATTAATTTTTGTTCTCGTTGGTGCTGTTATTATTGTTCCAAGGTAGTACTGACTAGGGGAGGCAAAGCTGAGTAAGTAGAAGGACTAAATAAAAAGAAATGAATGTTCAGTTTTAATGTTGAGTTTTACTAAAAGGAACTTCGCAGCCAATAGCTCAAAGAATAATACATTTATTTTTTTAAATATACTTTGTTGATTTTTTACAGAGAGGAGGGGAGAGGGAGAGAGAGTTAGAAATACTGATGAGAGAGAAACATCGATCAGATGCCTCCTGTACACCCCTACTGGGGATGTGCCCACAACCAAGGTACATGCCCTTGACCAGAATCGAACGCAGGACCTTTCAGTCTATAGGCCGACGCTCTATCCACTGAGCCAAACCGATTAGGGCAAGAATAAATACATTTATAAAAAATTTAAAAGTTGAGAAAAATGTCATCAGAGAGACTATTCCTTTGTAAAAGAAGAGAATAAAGATTGTCAGCCGACCTGGTCACTTCTTATTGCCCGCCCCCTTGCTGACCTGTTTGCCCCAAACTGCCCTCCTTGCGGACCTGGTTGCCCCATGCAGCCTGCTGCTCAGTCCTTTGGTTGTCCCTCATTAACCCCTGCCGGCCCAGTCACCCTATGCAGCCTGTTCGATTGTCCATTCAGTTGTGGTGGTCGTTTAGGCTTTTCTATATATAGATGGCTTTTGATAACTGTATAACATGTATACACCATTGAATTTCAGATATGTTTTACAAATATTTTCTCTCAATCTGTGGCTGTCTTTTCATTACATGAGCATTGTAAGTGCTCAATAATTTAAAAAAATTTAAATGCATTTGTTACAAAATTTCTATAACTTGATAAAACATGAATATAAATGCAGATTATAGATCTCAGCCACTTGGGCCTTAGATATCACTTAGATCCAGGTGTGGTAAAAAAATGTATCCACATGAGAATATAGTTTCACCTATTCATCCTTCCCCAGACTCCTGGCAACCACACGTCTTTTACTGTGTAGTTTTGTGTTTTCTGGATATCATACAGCTACCCTGTTTCCCCGAAAATAAGACAGTGTCTTATATTAATTTTTGCTCCCAAAGATGCACTAGGTCTTATTTTCAGGGGATGTCTTATTTTTCTATGAAGAAGAATACAGTACACATTTATTGTTAAATGAAAATAAAGGAAATTTATTACCTGTATATGGTACGGTAGTTGTCAACACAAACCAGACAAACTGTGAATCCTACAGTATCAAGAATTTACTCATTTATTCACTGACAATCATGTCATCATCTTCTGGAACATCATCATAACAATCCAATTCCTGAATTTCTTGTGACTCCATTTCTTTCAGAATCAGTGGACCAAATCTCTCATGTTTAGCCTAGGGGGGGGCCTTATTTTCGAGGGATGCTTTATATTTCACTCAGAAGGAAACCTGTAAGTAGGTCTTATTTTCAGAGGATGTCTTATTTTCGGGGGAAACACGGTAGAATCACAAAGTATGTAGTCTTTTTATAATTGTCAGTGTGCATTTGAGGTTCTTCCATGTCTTTTTGTGATTTGATAGCTCATTTCTTTTGTTGCTGAATAATATTCCATTGTCTGGATGTACTGCAGTTTGTTTATCCACTGACCTATTGAAGGACATCTTGTTTGCTTCCAAGTCATGAATAAAAGCTGCTATAATCATTTTTAGGCAGGTTTTTGTGTGGCCATAATTTTAACTCTGGGTAAATGCCAAGTTTAGTTTTGTAAGGAAACTGTAAGACTGTCTTTCAAAGTGCTACATCATTTTTACATTCCTGCCAACAATTAATGTATTCCTGTCCCAAATTCTTGCTAGTATTTGGTGCTCTCATTGTTTTGTATTTTGGACATGGTTATAGGTGTGTAATGGTATCTAGTTTTATTTTGTAACACCCTAATGGCATATGATGTTGATTTTCTTTTCATATGCTTTGCCATATATCTTATTTGGTGACTTGTCTCTTCAGATCTTTTTTTCCATTTTTTAATTGGGTTGTTTGTTTTCTAATTGTTGAGTTTCAGGAGTTTTTATGAGATGTGTTTTGCAAATATTTTCTCTCAGTCTGTGGCTTGCTTTTCATTCTCTTATATTTATTCATATTTACACATACTTTGTAGATCTATGTATCTTACATATTGTATTTATCCAGTGGCTTTAAGAGACCCATGAGAAGAAGGTATACTGAACCACCATTCTAAGCTGTGAAGCTTGTGGTCTTTCTGATTCTGTTAAGATCTGGGAGGCAGAATAGAATGTTGAAGTGCATAGATTTTCAAAATGTACTCAGGTTTGACTTTTGGTTCTGCCATTTTAGTTGTGTGAACGAAGGCAAATTACTTATACTCTCTGTCCCTCAGTTTCCTCATTTATGAAATGGGGATAATAATTATGAGTGTCTATTATTATGTTGGCATAAAAGAGTTTCAGAGAAGTGCTTAGTAATAGTAAGTGCTCAATAAATATTAGCTCTTGTAATTATTTCTACCATCGTTATTGTTGTCATTAACACTTTCTGCTTCATCCCCTTCATATTATTCTGACTATCTAATTGATAAAATTGTTCCTATATTGAATTATAGTCTGCATTTATGTAACTTTTACTTATTGGCTTTTTGTGTCCTTTGGATTATGGAAAATGAACTTAATGCCTTGTCTGAATGATGTCTCTTAACTTTTGAAGCTGATCCCTTCTGTTATCAGAATTTCTTTATCAACCAACCTGTTTTGTAAATAAATTTTCCTTACCATAAGGAAGTTAAAGTTAACATTTAAGGGATCATATCTTTTAAAATATATTAGAATTTAAAAGATAAATAAATTGAAAGTATAAATGATCAGAGTTGAAAATGACACTTGGATATGAGTGATGTCCAAGGTCCAAGTGGCTGAGAGCTATAATCTGCATTTATATTCATTTGTCATCAGTTATAGAAGTTTTGTAACAAATGCATTTTAAAAAATTATGGTGTACTAACTTTATTAATTAAAATCCTCTTAATGAAAACTTATTTTATCTTAGAAAATGGCCTTAGGCATTCTCCTTTAATTTATTGGTTTAGAACAAAGTGTTTGAAAAAGCATATGAAAAGATTTGGGATAATTGCAATGCACATGGAGTCCAGCTTACTAATGATTTTTCCCCCCCTTTTTGTAGTTTATAAAGCAATTCTTTCTAGATTGGAATTTCACTTCAATTATAAGCAGTACCCTATCCCCAAAAGATTTCCAATGTCAGTTTTCAATTTGTAATGTAGAAGCTTCACTGTGGTGTAAAGTATTATGACATTTTATTTAGGAAAAAAGGTCACAGAACTCCATATGATGGTATAAACTTCCCAATGCTTACATGTTTTAAATGGGAATGAAAAGTACATTAAAATTTACATTAAATTATATCTGTTTTCAAAATGGAGAAGTCAGTGGGATGGGGATTATAGAATGTGTTTGGGACTCCATGGTGGGAGGTGTGGGTCAAAGAAGCCAGTGAAGCATAAATAGGAAGGAAAATTTGACCAAGACAATTAGATGACATGGTTCTTTCCCACTTCTTTTGTTTGTTACAGGCAAAGGGGAAGACAGCGACGTACTCAGTATAAATGCAGATGCTTATGACAGCGACATAGAGGGCCCATGCAATGAAGAGGCAGCTGCTCCTGAGGTCCCAGAAAATACGGTCCAGAGTGAATCTGGTCAGATAGATGACCTGGAGAAAGACATTGAGAAAAGTGTGAATGAGATTCTGGGACTGGCAGAGTCGAGCCCAAAGGAGCCCAAAGCAGCCACGCTAACTCTTCCTCCATCAGAAGATGTCCAGCCTTCTGCACAGCAGCTGGAGCTGCTAGAACTTGAGATGAGGGCAAGAGCCATTAAAGCCCTGATGAAAGCTGGTGATATAAAAAAGCCAGCCTAGTTATTTAATTTGAACTTGAATTTTAGGTGTGTTGGAACAAAGCCACATGATCGGGCTTTGTATCTGACATTTATTCTGGGTCTTACATGATATTTCTCATGTAACCTTATTAGATAAACTCAATTTAGACTTAAAATACCTATGGCTATTTTTGTTGATGTTACTTTTATATTATTACGTGTTATTGTTTTATGAGTTCATGGCAAATATTATTAGGTCATTGGATACTTTGTTAGATAAGTATTTTAGCTGGTCTTCAGATTAGTATCTGAAAAGCCATTAGCAAAGAGTCATGGTAATTTTTTTCTTTATTTTTAAATATTTTGGTACCAAACCTAAAAGTTTAAGAAAAATTGACTAAGCATGTTGCTCTATATTTTGCAATGAAATATTAAATTAGTGCTCCTAGATTTGTTAACAATTTAAGAATTTTAGTTATACTTACATGCGCCTTGGAAATATGTATTATCTTGAAAATATATACCTTCTTTGGTTGTGGATTTACTAGTAAATGAAAATCGAGTAACATTTTTTACTCTAAGGCTTAAAGATCTGAAATGTCTGAGAAAAACTTACATAATAAAGAAAAAAGGGACTTAATGTAAGGCAGTTTTTAATAATGTAGAGTAGTTGCCCAAGTTTAGTTTCAACAGACAAGCCATTCTGACAGGTATTTGATTTTTATTGGACACTTTGTTGAAGTGTTTTTCTTCAGTAAAAAGGGAACACATTTTCATTTTCATTCCAAGCTATCGGGAAGAGGAGAATATTTTATCATATAGATTTTCATCTGTTGTTTTTGCTTGAAGATCTGGTTTGCTATAATTCCATGAATTAAAAATAATAAAGACTGTCATTCTGGATTTGAAGACTTTTGATACTTTTCCAAAAGCAAAATTAATTTCAGGAAGCTTTGATTAGTCAATGTTGTAATTAATCTAATTTTGTATAGTTTTTGTAAATAACAGTTATGGATGCATTTTGCCCCATCACTAATTGTAATTGTTTGATACCAAACTACATTTAGGTAGATAAGTTAAAATAAATTGTTGGGTTTTTTTTTTTTTCCCCCCTAAAATATAAATCTTGAACTGTTGTTTTTATAGTTGCTCACAGGGTATTTGATGTATAAGCCATGCTTTCCAAATATTCTATGAGGATTTTTTCCTCAGATACTAAACTTTCAGGGGTTGTCTTTTATAACTGGCTTAATTTTGTATACACTAGAGGCCTGGTGCATGAAATTTTGCACGGGTCCGTTTCCATAGGCCTGGCTGGTGATTGAAGTGCGAGTGCCTGACATGGAAGGGTAAGTCCCAGCTGATCTCTGGCCCCTGGGCAGCACCTGGGCCCCCATTCACACCTGTCTTGGCCTGGCGCCGCCTACTCACCTGCTCCACCATCCTGTCTCAGTCCCACTCTTGTCAGGACCAGAAGCACCTCCACTGCAGCCCACTGCCAGTGCCGCATTGCCAACGCCCATCGTGTTCCACGCCGTCCCCTGGTGGTCAGTGCATGTCATAGCGAGCAGTCAAACTCCTGGTCAAATGACCACCTGAGGGGACAATTTACATATTAGGTTTTTATTATATAGGATTTTAGAAGGTTACTTATAGAAATAGGGAGTATTTATGGAACATTGGAGTTGCAGTTATAAAATATTATTTTTTTAATATAGTTTATTGATTTTTTACAGAGAGGAAGTGAGAGAGAGAGTTAGAAACATCAATAAGAGTCATCGATCATCTGCCTTCTGCACCTCCCCTACTGGGGATATGCCCACAACCAAGGTATATGCCCTTGACCAGAATCAAACCCGGGACCCTTCAGTCCGCAGGCCAACGCTCTATCCACTGAGCCAAGCAAGTTTTGCTTATAAATTTTTTGTTGTTCCTGAACAACAAATAACTGTGTCTTTTTTGTTTGTTTTTTCTTCTCCCTGAATTTCTCTGATGAAGCGGAGGCCTGCATCATTTGAAAAGCTTCTCTTAGGCTGGTAACTGTGAATAGGGTTTAAATACGGTTTCTTGTAGTTAACTGCTTCAAAATAAAAAAAGCATTGATTATGGTAACATTTTCTGTCAACTTAAACTAAAAGTTAAAATGATAAAACACTGCAGTAGAAACTGTAATAATGCTGCTACCAATTATAAAGTGCAGTTGATGTGTGTGATTAAACATACAGGCGTAGGAAAAGGTCTGAGTGCTGCGTAGCTGATGAAAGTCACCACCTTCAGCATTATGTGTGCTCTATTCAGCGTGCAGGCGAGTTAGAAGACATTTGAGTAGAGTTGGTATGTGTGAGGTGAAATGAGCTGAGCAAATTAGAAGCTACTTAGAAAAGCAACTTTTCTCTCACTCTTTTAATGTTGAAAGACAGGATAGCTTTTTGAAAACGAATGGCTTTAGAGAACAGGGATGAATTTGCTCTTGACATGCCTAAGTAATGAGAAAATAACATATATTGATCTGATGCTGTTATTTAAATCATCTGCTCACAGGTATTTATTGATTACCTTTGGGGTGTTTCGTCTTCTTCAGAATCTTAAACTCAAGGATGTTACAGTATAGATTTAAGTGTAGAATAGACTGACTAAACAGGATATGGGTGCTACTTCCTTTTATATCTCATTCCTCCTTCCTTTGCCAAGGTAAGGAAAGTTTCTAGACAATGTTCAATTAATTAAAAGAGAAAAAATTTGGCAGCCTAGTTTTTCATTTAAAGCAGTCCATTTGACTAGGAACTTGGCCGAAATCTTGAATGATCGGTGGCAGCTGATTAGACCGTGGCCCAGTTTTTGATATCCTACTAATTTACACATTAACATATCCTCAAAACCTATTAGCATGTTACCTGTCTAACATACTAATTATGGAAAATCACTCAAATCCTTTTTGTTGAGCACCATCAATTCCTTAAAACTACCAGACAATATATCCTTTAAAAATATATCTTGTTACCAAAACCTACTTGCAATAAATTGTTAGAATCCAGGGCATGATTAGTTATCTGAGTAGAGGTGTTGAGTCATTTGAACGGTAATACAATTTGTGATAAAATATGGGGTGGGGCAAAAGTAGGTTCACAGTTAATTGTCTGGAAAATACAATAATAAATAATATAAGAATAAATTTTTACATACTCACAACTGTAAACCCACTTTTGCCCCACACTGTATTTGTTAATACTGTTTTCAAGGTAGAGAAAGATGGGGTGAACCCAAAATTTGGGCCAAATATAGCTGGCAGCCTAAAAGTTTTAAAATTTCCTAGTTCTGTTCATCATAAAAAATAGAAGAGAGTTTAGTTAAAGATTTCCTTTATTGTACCTGTTTAATTCTTAAAAAGTAAAAGACCAATATGCTTTAAGTTAAAACTACTAGATTTTATCTTCAAGTGCACTCCCTTTTTAAAACAAAAAAATGCTAATGAATATATTAGTAGGAACTCAAGTACATTTCCTGGATATTTAATCATTTAAAATAGCATTGTGATGCAGCTTTGGCCCCTGGCTCAGTTGACTGGACCATCCTGTACACATAAAGGTTGGGGGTTTGATCCTTGGTCGGAGTGCATGCCATCAATGGATGTTCCTCTTCCTCTCCCTTTCTCTCTCAATAAAAATTAAATAAATAAATAAAAAGCATTGTGATACAATAAAAAGAGTAGAGTTAAATGAAAAGAGTAAGAGTTTAGAGTAAAAGATTCTAATTCTGTCTAAACCAGCTGTGTTACCTTGGGTGGAAATATGCCCAGTAGATGTGGTTTGGTGGTTGAATGTCAACCTATGAACCAGAAGGTTGTGCTTAGATTCCTGGTCAGGACTCATGCTTGGGTTGTATAGAGATTCAGTGATTCTCATCATTGATGTTTTTATCTCTCCCCTCTCCCTTCTTCTCTGTAATCAATAAAAATATATTTTAAAAAAATAAAGTGAGGGAAATAAACTTAACCAATATATGATTTCTTTCTGCTATAATATTTTGTCATTCTAGTACAGAATATTGTAAAAATTTGGGAAATTTTTAAATTCAGGTACTTACCTCTTCTCCCCATTGAAAATTAAGCAATCTAGTTAATCTCTCTTTGTCCCAAAGCGATTCTGGATATGAACAATAATCCAGTGTGTGTGTGTGTGTGTGTGTGTATATGTATTTTTTTTTTTTTTTTTTTTTACCTATTACAGTCTATGTCAGGATAACTTGATAAGTATACTGTCTACAATTACTTTGGCCCATAAACTTAGGTTATCTTTTAATTTTGTATTTTATTTATTTCAAGATAATATGTAAATAATGTTAAGTCAAAAAGAGGTTTTTTTTCCCCAAGGCTTATAATGAAAAATATAATAGTATTCCCTTTTCCTCTTCTTTTTATACCAGCTTTTGCTATTGAAAGTAAACACTTTCAAATCTTTTAGCCATTTTTCCCAATATGTCTGTTTTTTATGTATCTATTTTGTGATATTTTAGGTTTAGTTTTTATCTGTTGATCTATTTGGAATATGAACATTAAAATCTGTTCTACCTTCCCCCTAAACACATAGCTCCCTCCCTCATCCTTCCAGTATAAGTGCCGTGCCAGTGCACTTTTTGGTTAATATTTATACTTTATACTTTAATATTTATACTGTTTTGACTATTTAAATACTATTCATAACTGGGCTGCATGGTATCTATAATTCCTTTTTTGGTCCAATGATTGTTTTCAATTTTTTGGAATTAATAATATAAATAATATTTTATTTGCTCAGCGTTCTTTGTAGTAGACATCAATTTATACCACCTTCCAGAAGTGTAAATTCTCAGCAGGATAAAAAACACCATATAATTTTTTTTTTTTTTCTGCCAACACATTCCCACTGGAGCTCTCACTTCCTTGCTAATCTGAGTGGGTTGCTCTTCACCTCTCATGTTGGATATCCCAATTCCTGAATCCTCTGTCTTCCTCCTTTAGTTTATTCCCTCATTGTGATGGCAGACCTCTTCCACCAGCCTCTG